CCTAGGTCTAGGGTTTGCATTCATATAGTACATCTAAATGTGATAAATCTTTTGGTTAAAATAAGAAAATCCTTGACTAAATCATGCAACTATCCTTGGCTAGGTCGAAGGGGTGCCTTGGATTTTTATCCTTGCCTTCCCCTTCATCAAATGTGACTCCCAAACCTTTTTTCGTTGGTTTACGTAGACATGGAGTTGTTTAAAAGGGGTTTCCTCCTACCTTTTTCCTTTAAAAAATTCATTTTTAGGTGACTTGGTACACCTTAACTCTATACCAAGTGGCGACTCCATTTTTCATTCAATAAACCCTTTTTAAACTATATTTTGGGTCAAATTGTCGCATTTTCATGTCCCATTTAGACCCATATTTTTCTTCATTTTCTTTGTAAATCAAAAATTCATTTTCAAATCAAAATTTCACTTTTTTTTAAACCATTTATTTATTTTTAAAAAAAAGGGGCGCGACAGCTGGTGACTCCACTGGGAACTTAGAGAGTCTGAGCAAATTTGATTTAGTCAATCTTTTTCTTCTTTTAACCCTCTCATATATCGCATTTGGATGTTTAGGGTTGCTTTCTTCTTTCCCTTTTGCCCTTTTTCTCTTTTTAGGGATTTTTGCATCTATCACGCGTACAATCGCTCTTCGCACACTATGTATGTGATGAATGGATGGTTCTTTTATTTGTTTACTTTTACTTGTTTCGCGATTGCATTTTGGGATGGGGGGTAGTTACCCTAGAACCTTCGACCGCATCTAATGGTACAATCCCTCCCCTCAATAAGAAAGCACCTCATACGTGCATGCATAGTCTTATTTACCCTATTTTTTTCTTTTTCGTGGGCGTTTCCCACACCTCCTTGTAGGATTAGGATCGATTGCCTTGGGTAGGCGGATGGTGTGCTCTGCGCCTATAGCGCTACCTAAGGGATCACTCGAGCCACCGATCAAAGGCCCTGGGAGTGATGACCCTTCGCCTTTAGGTCTGAAGGCTTGGGAGTCGAAACCTGATCGAGTCTAGATGCATTAGTGAGCCAAACCTCATGCATCCATATTAGAATTGCCTAGGATAGAGTCGACCTTATCCTGGACTAGGGATACTATGCACGAGGGGAGGGATTCCAACCCTCTTACCTTATTTCTGCTTTCTTTATTTCATTATTATTTGGTTGCCACAATGTGTTATGTGTTGAGCTAACTTTTCTTGTTTCTTGCCTTTTGCATTCACAAACTTTAAGAGATAAAAGGTCTGGCATGGCCTTCTTTTAGGACCTACCCGTGTAGATAGGCTATTGCACGTTTACGAAATTTTGATATATTTCGTTCATAAATTAATAATGCCATATCATTTTAGGCCTACCCTGGCAAATAAAGGGCCCCTTAGGTCACGTTTCATTTCGAATTGCATATTTCACTGCTTTAATGAACTGGCATCACGCATAAACCATAGAAAGGGAATGCCACATAGGGAATCCCGTGTTAGGAATAAGCCGCCACATGTCTCGGATATTTAATCCAATGGGACTTACACGTTTACTATTTCTGTATTAAATACCTAAGGGGTAAAATCCCGAGGTATGGTACTAAAGTGAATTTCCTCCCAGATGGCTCAGTGTAGAATGCTCAATCAGATACCTCGTGAGCTGGTAGATTGGAAGAACAATATGGCACATGAAGTGAATAGACTTTTCCAGTATATAGGACATTTACCTAGTCTCCTGAACATAACCCCGAATGTAGCCATTATCCAAGCTTTGCTCGAGTTCTGGGATCCGGACGGCTCCGTTTTCCGATTTGGAGAGTGCGAATTAACACCAACCCTGGAGGAAATAGAAGGATTGTTGCAAGTGCCGGGGAAAGGTCACCCTATGGTATATCCAACGAATGGCACCAGAGAACAATTTTGTAGGTTCTTAGGGTTGAGACAGTTTAGCATGAACCAACACCCGGACGCAAGATCATGCCCGCTGGAGTTCTTATACAAGCGCTTTGGGGAAAGGGAAGCTTACGACCATCACCACGAGGACTTCTTCATTAGCAGAGAGCAGTGGGAAGAGAAACGAGTACAAGCCTTGGGGATAACCCTGATTAATCTACTCCTGTTTCCGCAAAAGCATGGAAAAGTTATTTTCTCAACGGTCAACATGGTTCAGAGTATGTTTTTGGAAATTAAAGGAAAAACTCCCACCCTAGTACCCATTATCATTGCTGACATCTTCGCCGCTGTTACTGAATGCCGAAAGAAGAAAGGGTTTTTCTACGCATCCAACCTGGTACTCCAAATGTGGGCGATGGAGCATCTGTCAAAAAGAATACTAAATCCATTGGGATCATGCCTTCCAACAGTAAATTGGGTTGAGTCACACCGAGAAAGGGTTAGAAAATACTATCGAATAGAGTCTCCGAGTTTGTTTATTCAGGAATTCAATGCTTTAACTTCGGATAAGATACAATGGGTTCTTGATTGGACGAAAGTAAGGGATCCAGCTTTCAAGACAACACAACTTGGCTTCATCCCGCTAGCAAGTACCAGTGGATTGATTATGTATGTGCCGCAACGAGTTATGAGACAGTTCAGGTATCCGCAGTGAGTGCCGACCATAGATGGATTGGGAAGTATCGAACTCAATACAGTTGCTGAGTGCCGGAGTATGGTGCTGGAATCTTGGGGGAATCTGTGTAGTCTGGACAACCTGCATTTGGACCAAGTGAATAAAGTGGAGCCTAAGGTCGTCTCGGAGTACAACGAATGGATCAAATCAATGATGGAACGAGGAAGAGAAAGGGTGCCGTTGGTCTCCGTTACTCTCGAAGAGCAGAATGAGAAGTTAAGGAAGGAATTGGAGGATCATCAGTTGCAGATTATGGTGGCCGATCAAGCATTAGAAGACGCCCGATCACAATTGAAGAAAGAGGCAAGGAAAACCGAGAAACTGGAAAAGGCATTGGGTGCATTTGATAAAATCCAAGATGAGATTCGGAAACTTAGTATCGGGAGTTCTAGGGAATCCCAACATACTAAACTAGCTAGACATGAAGACTTTGTAAGAATGGTCAGTCGAACCATCAATGAGATTGTAAAGAAGGATTGAGTTTATCCATATTTAATGAGAAATTCTGCTTTTATATTCACTTACAGGTTCGAAATTGGGATTTTACCCCGAAGGTATAGCATCATATTAGGCCCACCCTTGGCACAAAAAAGGGTTCCCCAATAGGACATGCATCTGAATTTCTTTTGGATATCTACTAACTCTTGTTTTTTTCTTTTCTTTGTTTTATTTTTGTTGGAAAAGCTAAGCCAGGGCTAAAATCTAAAAGCAAGCCATTTCGTATTTTCAGGTAATATTTAAACATAACTTCTCGTCGAAACCCCATCATAATGCGATCCCGTAGTCGAGCCCAGAGGAGTCGTGTAAACATGAGTTCACAACCGGAACAATCGGATAGGTCTGCTACTACCGCTTAACCCGAGACTGCGAGTTTAGGGGTTCAACTGACCGAAATGCTTACTAAGTTTGGTGAGATAGCTACCGAGATGGCGGCCCAAAGGAAATTGATTGACGAGCTAATTAGCAACGGAGTTCAACCCGAGCCCATACCCGTCAGGCAGCCTGAGCAAGAGCCATTTGTCATACCTTCGACTCAAGTCACCGTTACTCCATCTTTCCTTATTCCACCCGAAGAAACTTTCACTTACGCCACCACAAATTTGCCATACACTTACCCTCCTAATCCTTCATTTTTGCCTACTCAAATGCGAGGTAAACAACCCCATGTCACTTCAAATATACCACCCGAACCACATACCTTTTATCACACTGCTGCTGAGCCATTCCTGCCAGACCATATTGTTCAAACCAAGCCAGAAATGGGAGAATCTTCTGCTCCCGTTGATATGAAGCTGCTCAAGCGCCTTGACCGTTTTGATGAATTTATGAGGAAAAGTCAGGGGTTGAACAAGCAAGGAGTCCTGGATTACGATGAGGTTTGCCTTTTTTCGAATGTACAGTTGCCTGAAGGGTTCAAAACCCCTAAATTTAACAAGTATGATGGGACGGGTAATCCCAAAACACACCTTCGACTGTTTGCTAACAAGTTGGGAAAGCCTGTAGACGACGAGAATTTGCCTTTAAGGTTGTTCCCCGAAAGTCTGGAGGGGGATGCACTCGACTGGTACTCCAATCTGAAGCCCGAGGAAGTAAAAACCTGGATTGACTTGTCCAATGCTTTTGTGAAGCAGTACGAGTATAACTGCGAGCTGGCTCCGACATGAACCACGTTGGAAGGAACAAAAAGAAAACCCTCTGAGGATCACAAGACTTATGCCAAGAGGTGGAGGAAAATAGCTGCAAAAGTCGAGCCACCAATGACTGAGGACGAAATTATACGCACTTTCATTAAAGCACATGATCCGCCGTACTTTGAAGAAATTTTTCGCATGACTGGATGCTCATTCGCCGCCATTGTCAATAAGCTTGAGGAGTACGATGAGTTTGTAAGAGCCGGGAAGATCGTTAATGTCTCTGCCCTCAAATTGCAGTTGGATGCTTTACAAGGACAAGGGAGTAATGGGAAAAAGCCGCAATTTAAAAAGAAAGAGGGGGAAGCTGCCTTCATATGAGATCAAGACCCTACACCAAGACCCCTATTTCAACATAAACCAACATATTCACCTTATCCCTACTATCCAAATCCTTACCCTATCTACAATACCAATATCTCGCACCCCCGACCTCGCTCAAACTACGCCAACCCGCCTACGGCCCCTTTTCAAGTATCTCAACCTAACTTTCAACAAACTCGTCCTCGACCTCCTTACCACCAAAGATTTCCCCCACCAAACAGACCCACCTACAACTACCCCCAACCTACTGAAACCTACAATCAAAATCATACCCGAACATTCACCAACCTAGACAGGCCTTTGGATCAGTTATATGAGCAATTAAAGGCTACCGGTAAAATAGGTGCGATTCCCCCTCCAACTTACCCTTATGGCATGCCAGTTGGGTATAATCCACAGGCTACTTGTGCTTATCACTCAGGAGCACCTGGTCACTCCACGGCCAATTGTCGACTCCTTAAACATAGGATTCAAGACATACTCGAAGCAGGGGAAATTGTGATTAGGAAAAGAGAAGAGCAAGGACCGAATGTGAGCAAGAACCCCTTGCCGGAACACCCTGATACTGTCGGAATTATTATGGATGATGAGGAATTTGAGGAGCTTGTCCGAAACATGTCAAATGAGACAGAAGTGTTTGGGATATTGGACAAACCTTTTGTGATAGAGGAGGCATCGTATGAGGAAGACAAACGACCCTTCATTTTAGACCTAACTCCATCCGAAAGTGCGGCCTTAGAACTTGTGATAATTGAATTCCTAGAACAAGTGCCAGTTTTAAGTCTACAACAAGTGCCGTGGAATTATAGTGAGCCCGTTTTGCAAATCGGAGGCAAACCAGTTTTGAAGGAAGAAGTGTCTCTTGTTACGAGGTCAGGGAAGATTACAAGTCCATCCGCTGCTAGCGCCCCAGTTCAAGTAAGCAATCATGAGCCGACTACCAAACCTGCAGTGACCGAAAGAGAAGCGTGGGATTTTCTCAAGAGGCTTAAGAGAAACGAATATAATGTGGTTGAGCAGCTGAACAAAATGCCTGCCCAAATTTCCATTTTAGACTTGCTTTTCTCCTCCGACTTGCATAGGGATGCATTACTTGAAGTGTTGACCAAGGCTCGTATTCCTAAGGATATTTCGGTTGACAATTTCTCGCACATGGTTGAAAATGTATTGGCTGCTAAACAAATCACTTTTTCTGATGAAGAGCTGCCTGCGGAAGGAACTGGTCATAATAAAGCCTTATATGTAGCTGTGAGGTGCAATGGAAAAATGTTGCCTAAAGTATTGATCGACAATGGGTCTGCCCTCAATATTTGTCCTTGGAGCACGTTGGTGAAGTTAGGGCTGCAAGATGTTAGATTAAAACCCTCAGAAATCGTAGTACGAGGATTCGACGGAGCCCAAAGAGAGTCCATAGGGGAAGTAAATTTGGTGGTCGAAATGGGGCCCGCTCAATTTCAGATAGCTTGCCAAGTTATGCACTTTCCCAGTGTCTATAATGTTTTACTCGGGCGACCGTGGATTCATAGCTCGGGCGTTGTGCCCTCTTCCTTGCATCAAGTATTGAAATTCGTGGTGAACGACCAGCTGATTACCATTTTTGCTGAAGAAGATTGCATTGTAATTGCCGATTCCGAGCCTGAGGAGGATGGTGACCGAAATGCCTCTGTGTCTTCCTATCGTGCAGCTGATATTGTCTCCGTGAGTTGGGTAACAAGTGAGGACTCAAAAGACAAAATGTCATGATGGCCAAGGAGATGATTCGCGGAGGATATGAATTTGATAAGGGGTTGGGACGCAATCTGCAAGGCATGTTGAAGCCCGTGGAACTCATCGAAAAGAAGGACCAATTTGGTTTGGGATTCCGTCCAACTGCTAGGGATATACAAGATATGAAAGCGCGCAAAAGGGCAGAAAAGGAAGGCAAGTTAGGTGCTTTAGACATTCCGCCATTACACTATACCTTTCCAAAGCCAGCTGAAGTCATTACGTCTGAGTTTAGTCCAATTGACGAAGTGGAGACAAACTTGACTCATTTGTTTGTGGGAACAATATCCGAAAATGACCCGTCAGATGATGCCGAATTCCCAGACATTCCCTAAGGAGCTATACACAACTGGACCGCCGAGTACTTCCCCGTGCGAAAGGAGTTTCGGTAAATCTACAGGGGGGTTGTCATTTACTAAAGTTCATGAAAACTTTTCTTGCATATGTAAATAGTTCAATGAAAGTATCTTTTGCACTTATGTTTTAGCTTGTTTCCGTTTTGATTTGAAGTTTTATGAAAATGCATAGTTTATTTTATCATGCCGTTCATTCATGTGTCTATTTACTTATTGTCTCGAATTTTTTAATTCTTTCAGATGGCCAAAAGTAAAATTATTTGACCCTTTGGATATCACTGTTCTGGAATCTGATGATGACAATCTCTATATCACTCACGATTTGGAAGTTACGGAATCCGAATTTCAAAGCGAGAGTGATAGTGAGGAAGTGTTTGATTCTTTTTCAAAAGATCTTGAACAATATGAGGAGAAATCTAAACCGAACCTAGAAGAAACAGAAGTTGTTAACATTGGTACTGAGACTGAAGTTAAGGAGATACAAATCAGCATTCATTTGAATAAAAAGCAGAAAGAGAAGATGATTGAATTTTTGTCTATGTTTCAAGATGAGTTTGCATGGTCTTATGATGATATGACTGGCATTTCGACTGATGTAGTGGTGCACAGATTACCCACAAACCCATTTTTTTCACTAGTAAAGCAAAAATCCCGTAAATTCAAACCAGATATGAGCCTCAAATTAAAAGAGCAAATTGAAAAGCAGCTTAAGACTAATATCATCATTGTATCCCATTACCCTGTTTGGCTCTCGAATCCAGTCCCTGTTCCGAAGAAAAATGGAGAAGTGCGAGTCTGTGTCGACTATAGGGACCTTAATAAGGCCAGCCCTAAAGATGACTTTCCTTTGCCAAATATCCATATCATTCTAGACAACACCGCCGGACACAAAATTGAATCTTTCTGTGATTGTTTTGCTGGGTACCACCAGATCTTAATGGCTGAAGAGGATAGAGAAAAAACTGCTTTTATCACCCATTGGGGCACCTTTTGCTATCGAGTAATGCCGTTTGGTTTAAAGAATGCCGGAGCTACTTATCAAAGGACTATGACTACTTTGTTTCATGACATGATCCACAAAGAGATGGAGGTCTACGTGGATGACATTATAATCAAATCCAAGAAAGCCGAGGACCATTTGATGGATCTAAGGAAATTGTTTGAAAGGTTGCGAAAGTACAATTTGAAGTTAAATCCTGCAAAATGCACCTTTGGAGCACCAGCTGGTAAATTGTTAGGTTTCATTGTTAGCAAGAAGGGCATAGAGATAGACCCGATAAAGATCAAGGCAATTCGAGACATGCCAGTACCGAAGACGCAGAGAGATGTGAAAAGCTTTTTGGGGAAGATTAACTTCATTGGAAGATTCATTGCCCAATTAACCGCGACGTGTGAGCCACTATTCAAGTTGTTAAAAAAGAATGTGCCGTTGCATTGGAACGAGGAGTGTCAACAAGCTTTTGACAAGATTAAAGATTATTTGCTGCAGCCCCCAGTCCAAGTGCCACCCAAACCGGGCCGGCCTTTGATTATGTACTTATCTGTGCTCGACGGAGCAGTAGGGTGTGTTCTGGGGCAGCACGACGACTCGGGAAGGAAAGAGCAAGCCATCTACTATCTTAGTAAGAAATTCACGCAGTATGAGGCTAATTATTCGTTTATTGAGAAAAGCTGTTGTGCATTGGCCTGGGCAGCTCAGAAATTAAGACACTACCTGCTAAGTCATACTGCCTACCTCATCTCCCGCTCCGATCCTTTGAAATACCTCTTGGAGAAGCCGATGCCAACTGGGCGTCTGGCCAAATGGCAGATGATTCTTTCAGAATTTGATATTGTTTTCACTTCGCAAAAGGCCATCAAGGGACAAGCTATAGCTGATCATTTGGCAGAAAATACAAAGGACGATGATTATCAACCGCTCCATACCTATTTCCCTGATGAAAAGGTTTTATTTGTTGGTGCCGTAGAAGATATGAGCGAGCAGTACCCGGAATGGAGATTGTTTTTCGATGGTGCGGCCAATTCTTTTGGAGTCGGGATAGGAGCAGTTCTTGTATCCCCCAGAAGGGAAGCATTATCCTGGAGCCGCTAAATTGCAATTTGCTTGCACAAACAACATAGCCGAGTATAAAGCATGTATTTTTGGTCTCAAAATTGCTTTGAAAATGGAGGTTAAGGAGTTAATAGCCTTCAGTGATTCAGATTTACTTGTGCACCAAACATTGAAACAATGGGTAACCAAAGATTCAAAGATTCTGCCATACCACTGTAATTTGCTCAATTTGGCTAAACAATTTCAAAGTTTGGAATTCAGACATCTCCCACGAGCCCGAAATGCATTTGCAGATGCCTTGGCCACCCTATCTTCTATGATACAATATCCGGATGAATTGGGAATTGAGCCTATCCGGATTCAACTCCAAGACAAGCCTGCTCATTGTTGGGTCATAGACAATTCTTCTGGCAATAGCCATTGGTACAATGATATTAAGGAATTCATCAAAACCGGGTCTTACCCTCCAGAAGCTAGTACAAATAACAAAGGTTTCCTGTGCAGAATGGCCTCGAAGTTTTTCTTAAATGGAGAGGTATTATACAAAAGGACCTCAGATTTGAACCTCTTAAGGTGCGTCGATGAAGATGAAACTCAATTCATAATGAAGGAGGTGCATAGTGGTGTCTGTGGGCCTCACATGAATGGACATTTGTTGGCGAAGAAAATCATGAGAATCGGGTATTTTTGGCTTACAATGGAACGCGATTGCATAGATTTTGTCCGGAGATATATTAATGCATGGTGACGTCATACGCGCTCCTCCTACCGAGTTGCATAGCATGATTGCTCCGTGGCCCTGCTCAATGTGGGGTATGGACGTGATTGGCACAATCGATCCTCCTGCTTCAAATGGACATCGATTTATATTGATGGCAATTGAGTACTTCACCAAATGGGTCGAAGTGGAATCATTCAAGCACGTGAAAAAAAAATGGCGAATTTCTTAAGGGATCACATCATATGCCGATTTGGGGTGCCGGAAACATTGATTACAGACAATGCCAAGAATCTCAACAATGATATGGTGGACGGGCTATGCGAACAGTTCAAAATCAGACATCGCAACTCTGCCATCTATAGACCGTAGATGAACGGAGCCGTGGAGGCCGCAAACAAGAATTTGAAGAAGATCATTTGCAAGATGACTGAAAAGCATCGTGACTGGCATGAAAAACTTCCTTACGCATTAATGGCGTATCGGACCTCCATCCGAACATCAATTGGGGCAACACCTTACTCGCTCATGTATGGAATGGAAGTTGTGCTACCTGTCGAGGTCGAAATCCCTTCATTGCGTATTCTAATGGAGACCAAGTTGGAAGAGGCTGATTGGATAAAGCAGCGTCATGAACAACTATCTTTGATGGATGAAAAACAGCTTAATGCCATTTGTCACGGCCAATGTTACCAAAAGCGCATGGCCTGGGCCTACAACAAGAAGTTCCATTTGCATACTTTTGAGGAAGGCGACAAAGTGCTGAAACGGATTTTGCCAGTGCAAGATGAGGCCAAAGGCAAATTTGCTCCGAATTGGCAAGGGCCATTCATTGTTCAAAAGATATTACCTGGCGGAGCACTCATTTTGGCAGAAATGGATGGACAAACTTTTCCTCAACCTATCAACTCGGACATGTGCAAGAAGTTCTTCATTTGATTATGCAAAACTTCTTTTAGAAATTCGTGCAAATGATGAAATGCAAGTCAGGCCATCTTCTTTTACGTTTGAAACATTCAATCCCTAGTCGTCCCTTTTGAGCTATCAGACTAATAATTTTCGTTTGGTAACCCCTGAGGATTGCAAACCCCACACTGGGGTAAATTTAGTTTTTTAAAGAAAAAATGCAAAAAAAAGAAGAAAAATGCAATGAAAAATGCAAAGAGAGAAAATCCAATCAAACTGGGGCAAAGTTTTCCTCATTTTCCGTTCAAAATTGGAGATGACTTCAAAATGATGCAACCTCAGGTTATTTCACACTTTTCATTAAAAATCTTTGTTTTCAAGCCTCAACTTTCTTGAAAACACCCCACCTGACCTCATTACAAAAGCCCAAAGTCCTGGCTTTCGTCAATTGCTGTATTTCTATCAGGAATTTCGTTAATCAACTGGCAAGTGATGTCCACAATGCCTTTGCCTAAACTTATAAGGGAAGCGCATTTTACTGATGCCAGCAATTTTCAACTCACACTCCTGAGTCGATCATGGTCGAGTTTTTCCTTTGTTCCTTAGGTGAAAACCCGAAAGGGCACCTCAAAAAAAAAATTAAAAGAGAAAAACAAAACAAAACAAAACAAAAGCAAAAATGGTGGGGGCAACCTTGGTGAAAACCCGAAAGGGCGCCGAGGTAGGGTTATGCAACGAACAAGCACGAGAAGGAGCAGCTGGTGACTTGGTTCATTCGGATTTCTCTTCGTTTTGTAACACTTCTGTCAATATTGAATTCTAGAACAAAAATATCCAGAGATTCGAATGTGACATCTGTTGGCCAAAAGCTGTGTCTCACTTTGAATAGATATTCTTTTGCAAATACATTCTTATAAATTTCATTTTCCCTCAATTATTTGCATTC